AGCTGGGGCTCAGTCTCACCAGGGAACATCGTGACCTGAGTTGAAACCAAGAGTCGGTCGCTCAACCCACGGAGCCACCCAGGTGCCCCAGGAGGGGTGCGAACTCTTACGCAAATCTATTTGTTTTGGGGAACAAATGCGGATGTCCCCTTAGGAAGAATTGCAGCAGATATAGGGAACCCTGTGTAGGTCTGATATACCACAAAATATGATAAGATGTACAGGAATCATCCCTCCCTTTTCTTCCCACCCTCTGAGCCCACATCCCGCAACCAATGCAAAGCCGCTATCCTTAGCTCCTTGTGTAGGTTTTGGATTAGTTTACGCACATCCAAGACGATACAGATCTTTTTCTTTTTTTAACATTCCTCTACGCCGTTTCCCCCCGCCCCCCACTTACTACACTTCCGAGGTGCTTCCGATCAGTGCATGTAAAGTAGTCTTATGGTTATTACTAGTATCCTATTATCATTACTTCAGGTTTTCAAGTCAACTTTATTAAGATAATTTACACACAGTAAAGTGCACCTGGGGCACCTGAGTGGCTCAGCTGGTTGAGCTTCTGCCTTCAGCTCAGGTCGTGATCTCAGGAGTCCTGGGATCCAGCCGGGAGTCAGGCTCCTCCTCAGTGGAGAGCCTGTTTCTCCCTCTCCCTCTGCGCCTCCTCCCCACCCATGCTCGCTCTCTCTCTCTTTCTCAAATAAATACATAATCTTTTTTTAAAAAAAGATGTTATGTATTTATTTGACAGACAGAGATCACAAGTAGGCAGAGAGGCAGGCAGAGAGAGAGAAGAGGAAGCAGGCTGGCTCCCCGCCGAGCAGAGAGTCTGATGTGGGGCTCGATCCCAGGACCCTGGGATCATGACATGAGCCGAAGGCATAGGCTTTAACCCACTGAGCCACCCAGGCGCCCAATACATAAAATCTTTAAAAAAATAAAATGCACCTGTTCTAAGTGTCCATTTAGATGAACTTGATAAATTCATGCACCTCTGTAATCACCACAATAATCCAGATACAATGTTCTGTAACCAAACCAAGTAGGAGAGTTTGTCCACCCTGTGGACAGCAGGCAAGTAAAAGTGGCACAGAACTTTTGCAGTGAAGAAAGATTAGCTATTTACTGGTACGGACCCGCCCAGGAAAATGGGAAAGTAATGCTCTAAAGTCCCGATCTCCCCAGTGGCTTGCAAGTGAAGGGTTTTAAGGGCAAAATTGGGGGCAGGACTGTCCTGAGAAGGTGGGTGTCCTTGACTGGAGGCCCAGGAGGTCGTGTTAACATGTGTCCTGGTGCCACTTTGTCTGGTTCCCTGGGAGGTCTTCTTCATCTCAAGAGGCTTGGAATCTGAAAAGTATATTTGTTCTTTTTGGTAGAGGTTTCATTAGGCATATCCGGTAATAATATCCTTGAAGTAGTACTGATTAACTACTTGTAAGCTAGTGGGGTTGCATTCCTGGAGGTTCCTTGGCCAGACCAGTCCAGCTGTGCCTGGAGCTGATAGACCTATTTCCATCGTCCCCAAAAAGTTCTCCTGTGCCCCCTCCCCAGTCCCTCTCTCCCACTTCCAGCCCCAGGCAGTCATTGATCTGCTTTGTGTCTATACATAAATTTTGCCTATTCCAGAACTTCGTATAAATGTAACTACATAGCATGTACTCTTTGTGTCTGGCTTTCTTCCTTCTATGTTTTTGAAATTCATTGACATTGTTTGCTTTTGTAGTGCCGAGTATGTTCCGTGGGCAGAGGAAAGCACGCTTTCTCTATTCTCCAGTTAGGCATTTGGGTTCTCTTCCAGTGTGAGACTCTCCTACATGTAGCCACTACACATTGCTGTGAAGTTTTATATGAATCTATGTTTTCATTTCTCATTTCTCATCTGTGAAGACCCAGAAGTAGAAGGGCAGGGTCCTATGGCAAGGGCATATTTAAGTTTGAAAGAAACTCATTTCCAAAGCAACTGTACCATCTCACATGCCTACCAGCAGTGGAGGAGAGTTCGAGTTCCTCTCCATCCTTGCTGGCACTTAGTGTTGCTCATTGTTTTAATTTTAGTTATTCCAGTGGCTGTGTGTCCCCGCCATTTTTTTATAGTTGAATGCTGCCCCTCATTCATATAGTCCCCTCTTGGCCATGTAAATGGTTTCCAGGCCTTCTGCTATTGCAATCCAGGCTGTGATGGATAGTTTTATACACAAACTCATCTGTGAGATGATTTCCTAAAATGGGCTTCCTGGGTCAAAAGATTTGTGTTTTTATGACTTGGGAGGATACACTTAAATTGCCCTTCAATTTGTGCCAATGGACAATTGCACCAGCAGTATCTAGAGGGCCCCTTGGCCTGCAACCTTACCGACACAGTTCTCAAACTGTGATACGCTTGTCTGAAGGTGTGAGTGCAGTCTTAATTTGCATTTCTCCTAGCAGTGAACTTGAATAACTGTTCAAACACTTATATGCCATTTATATTTCCTGTTCCCTGAATCATGTTTCTACTAAGTTGTTGGTCTTTCTCGTAACAACTGGAAGGAACTCTTTATATATAAGGGAGATTCATCTTTTGTCTGGAGTGTGAGTTGCAGATCTTTTTCAGTTTGTGAAATGCATTCAGCCTTTGTGTGTGGCTGTAGTTCAGTTATTTTCATTGCTAACTAGCATCCAGTTGTGTGACTATCACATTTTTCCCATTGATTCTACTGTTGCCGAACATGAGGGTGGTTCCTAGTTTTGAGATGTTACCAAAAATGCTGCTGTGGACATTTATGTGTGTGTGTGTGTCCCCAGCTTCCTGCCTTTGCCTGTCTTGCTCTCTTCAGCCCTTTACTGATTTCCCCCTTGGAGCACAGCCTGACATCGCTTGCACATGAAACCTCATCTTTGGGAACCAGACCTAAAATAGACCTAGACGGCTTTGGTCATGCTGGAGGTTCCAATGTGGGCAGGCTGGAGAGACATCAACTCTTCCCTCTGTGGATGAGTAAATGGGGTTCCCACGAGTTCCCCCAGCAGCAGAGGCCACCCTCGAAGCACAGAATTCCCTGATCCTCCCTTGACATGAGCTGGTGGGGTGGTACAGGGAGCAGAAAGCAAGGCATCCTGTCTCCTCTTAGGGAGGATTTGGGGAAGAATTGGGGTGGACAGGGGGATCTAGGCTTCCATCTTGAACCAGGAGCACAATGAGAGATTCCAGAACAAAATATGGATCCCGAGGAAGGGGAAATTACAGGCACACAGTCCTAACTGTGGTAAAGGAGTCCTGAATAGGAAGAAGAGAGAGACAGCTAAGAAAGCCCCAGAGATCACAGACATGGGACAATACCAAATGTGCAGCCTAGCAGGGCCTGGTGAGGACTTGGAGGTGGCTTGAGCTCTAAATGAGCTGGGGGCTGGGCAGCAGAGAAGACTCTCCAGAGCAGCCAGACTCTGAACACGGAGCAGAGGCTTCACTGTGGACAGCAGGGTCCTCTCGGGCAAGAAAAGAGCAAACTGGTGAGCTCCTCTTCTCGCTGCAAACCTAGGCTTTGGTGCCTCTTTGTCAAGGGGTTCTTGCCGACCCAAAGCCTGCTTCCCGCCCCCTGCATATGCTTCTCCCTGCCCATTTCCTTGTCTCTCTCCCCCCGCCCCCCAGACCCTGAGCTCCACAGGGTCTGGGGTTATCTTTGTTTACTGCCTAGCACAGGGCCGGGCACACAGTCAGGGCTAAGAAAACAAGGTGAACTTATAGCCTAAGAGCCATGGGGACGTTGGAATCATCCTTGCAACGTGGACGCTTTCCCAACCCAGATGAGCTATGTCTAAGTATATCCAAGGAATTTTCTGCAGAAATCTCCAAGCAACTATTTATTTGGAGGCTGCAGAGGAGGGGATGGGGCCACTAGACCAAAGTTGAGGAAGATGGATCCCACAAGTAGCCACTGTGGAAAAGATGATGTCTCCAGTGTCTTGCTGGAGTCACTCTCCAGGGGGACACTGGGGAGTGTCCTGGGCAGAAGGCAAACCACGGAGAGTTAAATTTTCAAAGTGCTTACGTAATGGGTGACATTCACCATCTGTAAACAAGACGCATTCTGAAGAATGACCCAGAACAGGGTGACTATAAACATTCCTCTACAAACCTCATGGTGGACAGAGCCCTTCTTCTTTTGGTGTAACTACCCGGGGTGGAATTTCAGGGTCAGAGGGCAGGAGTGTTTTAGCTTTAATAGATAATGTCAGACAGTTTTCCAAAGTCATCATTCTATATTACTCCATTTATATAAAATTCAAAAACAAGCCAATCAAATCCCTGGTGTTAGATAGCAAGCTTGAAGTTCACTTCGGGGGCTTGCAATTGGGAGGGGGCTTGAGGGAGACTCCGGAGTGCCGGTGCTGGTCTGTTTCTTGATCTGGGTGGCAGTGGCACTGGCTTGATCACTTTTTGGAAAGTCATCAAGCTGTGTGCTTATAGTGTGTGCGGTTTTCTGTTTGTGTGTCACACCTGAAGTACAAGTTTTTTCAGAAGTCTTGAGGTGCCTCAGACCTCCGGAGGTAGACACAGCTAGCCCCTCTGAGAACCTTCCATTCCCAGGTGGACCTATGACCCCTTGGAGATGCGCAGAAGGAATCCTCCCCTCACCTTCTCTTCCCTGGACAGCCTAAGAACATCTGGCCACATTCGGCTTGCTCTGTCTCTGTCCCACCTCTGGATTTAGTGCACACTTTCCACCCCCACCCCTCTCCCCAGACAACAATATGGAAAAACCAGTGCTTACTAAGTGCTCACGTACTGCGTGCCAAGCGAGGTGCTGGTCATGTGGACTGAGGAGGTGAGCAGGACCTAGAGCCTCAAGGAGCAGGAGAGAGTGCACATCTCTTGAACATAAGGTAGTTTGTGGCAAACGTCATGTAATTTGCACTTGCTGGCCACCTCCAGCAGGCAGTCTCCCAGAACGAGCTGCGTTCACATTCAGATCCGTGTTGCGGTGCAGCCGTTTGGGTTGCAAGAAAGAGACTCACTCTGGTAACGTCACAGGATGGGTGTTTATTGGGAGGACATGCCAGACAGGCTCCCCCAGGAAGAGTCTGGCAATCAGGCACTGCAAGGAATGGGACCTGGGACCAGGAAGCTTCGGGCCACGGTTCCATGGAGCTTACTCAGCCTCCAATTTCTTTCCAACCTGTTAGCCCCTAGGACATCTCACCACTACTCTCCCAGTTTCTCAACCCAAATCCCAGGCAGGGTCTTTGCGTCTCCTACCATCTGCCACCAGGCTGTGAGGGGAGACACTAGTCCACCTAAGAACCGGCCCCTCTCAGGCACTGACTTCCTGGGAGCAAGTTATTCCTTCTTTGTGACCCTCATTCTGCTTAACAGCCCCTGGCACAGAAGCCCCCAGGAAGACCGAGTGAGCCCACTTGATCACAGAGAAGGAGGTACCTGGAGCAGAAATAAGGATGCTCTCCACACTCACTGGGGTAGGAATGGGGGCCCCTGTTTTTCCAAGGGCATGATAAAATGCATGCTCAGGCAACCCCATTGCCTGGCATGCCTTTTCCCTAGGGAACACCAAACCATCTTAATTTCCTCAGTCTAAATGTGTGAGAGGGACTCCCTCTTCTGGGAAGCCCATGAACAGAATGACCAGGGACATCTCCTGGCCTTCAGTAGACGGGCACTGCAAACGTGGCCTGCCGGCAGCATTCTCACCAATGTCAGAAGTCTCGGGGATGAGTCCATGGTTGGGGAGTCCTTTGGAAACAGAACTAAAACTATATTTCTCAGAATCTCTTGCAGCTTGAGGTGGCTGCTTGACTCAACTCCAGCCAATGGAGAGTGAGTGAAAATGACCTGCAACTTCTGTCCACAATGGGAATGGTTGTGCCTTCAAACTCCTCTTCTTGCTGGAGGGAATGGCAACACAGTGGGGCCACCATGAACCTCACAGTCAAAGGTACCATTTCGGGGATGGAGAAAAAGAAGATAGAATGATCCCAAATTCTGACATCTTAAACTACCATAGCATATCCAGATTAGTATGGGAGAGAGAAGTAACATGTCCTCATGCTGAAGGTAATGTATTTGGTCTCTTGTTAGTGCAGCCTAACTTCTAGTCCAGCTCCTGTGGAGTGCTCTGGTCGGCCTGGGAGGATGTAGGAAGCTCCTCATCTTTTCTAATCCAGCCAAAAAGTCCAGGGTGGGCTTGGAGGGAAAAGATGTGAGGGGCCGTCCATTGGAAGATAAAGGGAGAGATGTGATCCAGAGAAAAGGAAAAGACAAGTAGACAACATGGGCACTCGTTTATCCTCAGAGTCCCCCAGGGCCAGCACCCTCCTGGGTAGATTAAGGTTCACCTCTTTCTCTGTGCCCATTTTTCTTGGCAAGAGATTTGGATCCGGGTCATAGAAAGTCAGATGCTGTAGAGTTGTTTTCACAGAGGGAGTCAGGACTCAGTGCTGCCTTGTTCACGAGGCCCAGGTCGTCACAGTTTCTGGTGACCTCCTCCTCCTGAGGGTAGACAGTGCCACAGATCAGCTCAGGGGCAGAGCAGAGGACTAGGGCCCACCTGCGGCTGCATCAGGATCAGGATCAGGATCAGTGAGCTTCCCGCAGAGAAAATCCTGGTGACAAGGAGCGCTCTGGGAGTGGTCATCCCATGGCCTCTAACTCTGGAGGGCAGTTCCCCAGACCTCAAGCCTTAGTCCCCAGGGGACTGCGGAACATGTGCCTGGCTGGCAATGAGGCTGTGAGCCCTGCCCCCACCCCCCACCGCAAAACTGGATGATCTGCAGAAGGGGACACGTCCCTGGGAAGGGAAAACAGACCTTCACCCCTGCCCAGGGGATAGGCAGACTGCAGAGTAGGGAAGAGAGAACCCAGGTGGGGTTCTGTGTTCCAAGATGCATCTTGAAAGTCGAGGAGAAGCTGCTATGTCAGAATGTCTGCCCCGGTCACCTTACCAGCAGCTCCCACAGAGAACCTGACAGTCACGCTGGCCTACAGTATACCCATCATGCCTGGCGAGCAAACACGTGACTGTTGTGTGCCCCATTCAAAATGTGGCTTCCCTGTCTTTCCGGAGGTCCCTGGTTCTCTGTATTCTCTCCCCAGTCTCCCCCTAGTCCCAGGGCCCATCCTACATATGAGAGCTGTCTCTGTGCACCAGCCCTGCCCAGTGGGTTAGCCAGGCGTCGTGTCTACCTGGGCCCACAAGACAGATGGATACCTGCATGGTCTGCTTCTGAGGAGTCATCTCCACCAAATTCTCACCCATGCTCAGCTTACAAAATTGTTTCCTGCAACAGCAAGAGTGGACTCAGAGGGTCTCTTCACTTCCCCTGCTTACCCCCATTTCCTCCCCTGACCCCAAGCGCTTACTTAGCCCCAGATAGCTCACTGAACAGAGCAATGGGAGCATTGTGGGGAGTGGGGGACCTTATCTTTCTTCCTTCCCTCCCAGCCCTTTCTTTACACAGATGGGCTCCAGATGAAGAAAGAAAACTACAGCAAGAGGGCTTGAAAGACAATTCTAGAAGCAGTTCCCAAATTTGGAGCAGTGGGAAGAAGAGGGACAGGCTAGAAAGTACAGAGCCCGTGCATCTGGTAAGAGAGACATGAGGGAATGTTGAGGGGAAGTGGGGGATGACGAGGTGACCCCAACCCTGAACCCACCTCCAGGCGTAGAAGGCCCCCAGGCCCAACAACAGGAAGAGGAGGCCCAGCAGCAGCCCCAGGACCCAGAGTAGCTTCTGGAACAGACTCAGACGGTGCAAGGCTGGAATGCAGGGGTGAGGCTCAGGTGGCCGCTCCAGGCCTCCAGGGCTCCCTCCCAAGGGGACTCCCCCGAGATGAAAACCATTCTAGCTCTCACTTTATCTCAGAAGCTTTCCCTTGCAACCAAGCATTAAGCTAGACTAGTTAGACAAACTGATCACAGGGAGAAGGATTCAGTGAAGACCTCAGAAGGAAGCCTTTGGACCTGAGAGCTGGGCCGTCCTATAGAGGGGCCTGGGAGACAGACCCTCCCTCCACCCCTCACCTCTGGTTCCGAAGTAGGTAGAAGCGGACGCAGAGCCCAGGGCATTGGAGGCAGAGCACACGTATTCCCCCTGGTCGCTGGGCCTCAGCTCCTCCATGTCCACCCTCAGGGCATTGGCGGTGGCTGTGACACGGATGTGGGGCTCGGCCGGAGCCCCGCCAGGCTGGCTGGAGGCCACCAGCCTCCTGCCGAGGTGGAGACTCAGACTGGCTAGGGGCTCGCTGTCCACTCGGCAGTCCAGGATGCCCCGGAGGCCGCCCTCAGGCTCCACAAAGACCGTCATGGAGGGCATCTCAGGAGGGTCTGTGGGAACACAGAGGGGCGTGATAGTTGCAGAACACCAGCGCCAATTCCTCCCCCCTCCCCCAACCCAGGCAAGATGACTGCAGCTCGCCACATGACGGGGTAGAACCCCTTGCCCCTCTCCTTGATCTGTGCCTTGCTCTGACCACTAGAAAGCAGAAGTGATGTTATGTGGCTTCAGGGCTAGACCTCAAGGGGCCTCACAGCTTCTGGCCTCCTGCAAACACAACCCCGGAAGAAGGTCAGGCCAGCCCCAGCTGCCGGCCATGAGGATACAGCCATCCTCAACCAGCTAGCAACAAGACAATGACAGAGATCAGCCGGAACCCTGCCCAGCTCCGTTCCGCCTGAATTTCTGACCTCCAGCATCAGGAGCAAACACAACAGCTGTCCTCTGAAGCTCTGTATTTCGGGGGGCTTGTGACTGCAGCCACCACTGGCTGATCCTGCATGGGGGCCTGGATGAGGGATGGAATGGGGACCCAGGCACTCTGCACGCAGTATCCCCTGGGCTCCTCACTGGGTGAGGGGGCTGATATTTTGCACATGAGAAAAGCCAGGCAGGGATGTACAAGGTCACACAAGCAGGCAGCGGGAGTCCTCCAACCCAGGACTCTATCCCTGCAAAGTCTTTGCTCTTTGCAGACAGAAGAGGGGGAGGACCCGAGGCAGGCAAGTGAGATGTGGACAGGGGGTGGAGGGTCGTACTCACACAGCACCCGGAGCATGACTGGAGCAGAGGTGGTGGCCCCACTGGGGAGCTCAGCCCAGCAGTGGTACACCCCGGCTTGGGCACGGGCCACGTGGGCGAAAGCAAGGGTGGGCACAGGCTCCACATGTAGTCGCTGGCCATTCCAGAACCAAGCGAAGGTGGAGTTGCCCATGGGTCCGGGACCACCAGAGAGGCGACAGCTTAGGTTCAGCGGTGCCCCCTCAGTCACATCCAGCCCCGGCTCGGCCACCACACGCACCCCTGCAGGCCAAGGACCAGGAGGAGGTCAGGGAGCCTGTGGGTGGGATCTGGGCATCGGAGAGGCCTCCGTGCATTATGGGAACATCTGTTCTGATTTGGGGCCCACAGAGGTAAGATTGTGGCTCTCTCAAAAGACAGATCTCTTGGGGCACCTAGGTGACTCAGTCGGTTAAGCACCTGCCTTTGGCTCAGCTCATGATCCTGGGGTTCTGGGATGGAGCCCTGCATTGGGCTTCCAGCTCAGCGGGAAACCTGCTTCTTTCTCTCCCACTCCCCCTTGCTTGTGTTCCCTCTCTCACTGTTTCTCTCTCTCTTTCAAATAAATAAATAAAAATCTTAAAAAAAAAAAAAAAAGACTGAGATCTCTTGCACTGGGGACCTCTGGGACAGGGTGGTTTGTCTCTACAAACCAGGCTTTCTGATGGATGAGGCTGTGTCTTGCTCGGAGATGGGACTCCCCAAACATGGGGCTCCATCTCATCTCTCACATTATGTCCCCTAAAGGTAGGGTTGGGACTCTCTTCCCACCCCAGGCTTCCCCAGAGCAGGTCTGTGCTTCCACCCCAGATTGGGTTCTGTGAGGGCAGGGCTCTGTCTCCCCTGTCTCCAAGGGGCCCTCCACATGGCTGCAGCTCTCCTTTGCAGAGTTCTGCAAGGGCAAGGCTGCTTCTTCCCCTCAGGCTGGGCAACAGCCTCCAGGGAAAGCGGTTCCTCCTCCATCAGATGGGGCAGGGCTCTAGCTATCCATTCTGGTCAGCGTGCCCCTCGTATACACAAGGCCCCGCTGTGCCTGAGCCCTTCTCCTCCCCCTTGGCCCACTCACCTTCCCCCAGCAGCTGCCCTGTGGTGCTGACTGAGCCCAGGAAGTTGTGGGCTGTGCACATGTAAGTGTCCTTGTCACTGGAGGGTACGTCTTGCACCTGCAGTCGCAGGGCATTTCGGGCCGTCTGCACAGGGCCTGTCCCGGATGCCAAGCCATGGACTCCCAGGCTGGTGGCTAGCACCTTGCCGTCACGGGACAGGGCCAGCTCAGCAGGGGGTTCACTGTCCACAGTACACTGCAACACGGCCATGGAGCCCACTCTGGAGTCCCGAAACGACGACAGGATGACATCCCGGGGGGCATCTGGGAGCACAACAGCACATAGTTGGAGGCCCTCTTTGGAAACCCTGGACCGTCCATGGCCCACCCCCCTGGCACTGGTGAGGCTGAAGCCTCTGGATGAAAGGCCACTTCCTCAAAGTGACACCTCGTGGGCAGAGTGGCAGAGAACCCCAGGTGGGGTTCGCAGGACTCTTTTCTCATCACCAATGTTCTTCTTTTCCCAAGTGCCCCTTCCAAGATCTGCATCCACCCCCACGAAGGCCCAGAAGTGCCCTCTGCCTGCTCTCAGCCTCGGCAACCCCAGCCAAGGGCCCTGGCTCACAGTGGACTTGCAGGGCGGTGGGCCGGGAGCTGCGGGTGCCCTGGGCGTCCTGGACCTGGCAGGAGTAGGCCCCCGCATGAGCCCGTGTGGCCGCTGGGATCGAGAGGGCGGCAGCTGGCCCCTCCTGCAGCCAACGGCTGTTGTGGTACCAGGCATAGAGAACAGGTGGGCGGGCAGCGGGGTCTTCACAGGACACTGTGACGGGGGTCCCCTCAGGCACAGCGGCAGATGGAGCCAGGGTCACCTGCACACCTGGACCAGGGAGACCAGGGTCAGCAAGTCCCAGCCAGAGACCACAGCTGGTCCCTCTCCCCACGCTGGGCTCAGCCCCCAGCCCTGCCTCACCCTCTAGACGAAACTCCAGGGAGGTATTGGCCTGGCCCAGAGGACTGTGGGCGGAGCAGCTGTAGAGCCCCTCATCGCTGGGTCCGGGCTCCCACAACTCCAGGCGCAGAGTGTTGGGGACAGAGGCTGTGCTCGAAGACATCAGGAGGTGGCCAGCATGGCTGAGGGCTAGCTGGGCAGGTGGACGGCTATCCACGGTACACAGTACCTGAGCCAGCCGTCCGCCTCGGCTTTCCAGGAGGTAGGTCAGGCGCAGGCTGCGGGGAGCGTCTATAGGGACACCGAAGGAAACAGTTCAGAGACCACACCCAGTTGGAGGCCACAAGGAGGCCAGTTGACAGGCAGCATTCAAAGCAGGAGAGCCCTGGCTCCCTATCGCAAGGGCCCCCAGTTGCCCAACTGAGGATCCTCTGCCCAGAAAGAAGCTACCCCCTCTGACCCTGACTCAATGCTCCTTGTCCTGGGCTTCTTCAGATTGATGGGGTCTGGGTTCCTGAGTCAGACATCTGTGGGGCTCTGGCCATGCCCTTGATCCCTGTGGGCCACCGTCATTCTTTTTTGTCCCACCCTGCATCCAACCAAACTCACAGAGGACATCCAGAGTGACAGGTCTGGAGAGGTGGGGTGCCTGGCCAGGAGTCACCACACCACAGCGGTAGGAGGCAGCGTCCGTGACTGTGACATTGGACAGAAGGATGGAGTGAGCACCTGGGCGCTGCTGCCCATCCTGGTACCACGTGTAGGTGAGCTGGGTGAGGTTCGAGGTCCACACAAGGCAGGTCAGGTTCACCAGCTGCCCCTCTTGCACAACGGCCCTAGGCTGCACCTGCACACTCACAGCTGGGGAGGGAAGAGGGCCGGGGACACGGGTTAGACTGTGAAGCTGTGTAAAGAAAGCCGCTTGTCTCCATGAGGAAGAGAAACATGTACAGGGGGCTCAAGATTGAACATGGGAAACAGCTCAACATCTCTCAGGTGGTCCCAACCAGGGTTCTGCAGGGCCTCCGGGTACCCTAAGCCCTCCCTGACCCTAATGGGCACATGGAAGAAGAACCCAAGCCTGCCTGGGCTGCAGTATTTTCTCCTTGAACACCCCGCCCTCCCTTTTCTGATTTATCCACTGGACATCCAGGCAAACATCTGTTTCTAAAAAAAGGCTCTTCCGTGAAAGCCAAGTCTGGAGTCATTTGTCCTTAAAGGAGGCTGAGAATGGAGGCTGTCCTTATGTTCAGCCCACCTGCCTGTCCCTCAGGCTTCCAGAACCTTCTCCAGCCTTCTCTCTTCTCTTAAAGGAGCCCCCCATGCACACACTCACGCCCTCACACTGACCCTGGGCATCGAAGAGGGCAGAGGCTGAGGCCTGGCCCAGTGTGTTGTTGGCCTGGCAGGTATAGACGCCCTCATCCTCCAGCACCGCTCTGTGGATCTCCAGGCGTAGTGTGTTGGGAGCGACAGCCACCTGCAGCCGGGGAGAGTGGCTGGCCAGCTCCCCCACACCCTGTAAGGTGGAGGCCACAAGGTGGTCCCCGTGGAGCAGTCGTAGGTGGGCTGGAGGGTCACTGTTCACACGGCACAGGAGGAGGCCCAGTCGTCCAGGGCCCGTGTCCATCAGGGTGGTGAGTGTGGCCTGGCGAGGGGCGTCTACAGGAGGTGGGGAGTGGTCAGGACCCCCCGTCCCTTCTCTAGCACTCTCGCTGGAGGCAGGGCTTGCCCAGCCCCTCCTCTATCTGTCCCTTTTGTCCCTCACCCCCCAAGAAACATGGACAGGATGAAAGCTTACAGGACACGTGGAGGCTGATGGGTGCGGCCAGGCTCGTGGTGGCCGAACCTGGGGCCTGGGCTTGGCAATGGTAGGCCCCAGCTTGGCTCAGAGTAATGGCCGTGAAGTGGAGCGTGGCTGAGTTTGACTCTGGGAGGGGCTGGCCATCCTGATACCAGAGGTATGAGGTCCCCTCTTGAACCCCTGCGGGCACCTGGCAGCTCAAGACCACGGCCTGGCCCTCCTGGAGCTCAGGTGATGGAGACACCTGGACCCAGGCTCCTGCGGGGGGAAACCAAGGGCAGGTGAGGGCCCTCCCCCATGCCCTCTCCCCCAGCCTGGGACTATATGTTTGTCCACACAAGGACCCTAGTCCTATGTCCTGGAGCCACAGGCCCCCTATGAGACCACCACCAAAGGCTCCACTTCAGCTCCATGCCTCCCTCTGTCCTGCTCCCAACTCCCCTGCCCTCGTCTGTCCCAGCTTTTATCACCCACTACCCAGAGCTACAGTTTCACTCTGTCGGTCATATGTCACCTACCAGAAGGCCCAGCTTATGGGACCTCCAACCCCATGGCAGGTGCAGTGCCTGCACAAGTTAGCTCTGGACAGATGCTGGCTTGACCCCATAGAACATTGAAATCAGAGGGGTTTAGGTCATGCCAAGGGCCGTTGTCCCAAGAGTGAGCTGGACCCAGCATGGATGACCCAAGTGATTACAGGGAAATGTATTGAGCTGGAGACCAAGGGAGGCCTGCTGGCTGGCTAGAAACTCCCCTAACCGTCACTGAAAAAGGCTCACATTTCTACCCCAAATCCACATGACACAGTCCAAAGCCTGGCCAGAGCAGCCCCGAGGGCACGTGGGCCCTAGGGACCGGACACTCACCTCGGACCTGAAAGAAGAGGGAGGTATTGGTGGATCCGAGGACATTGGTGGCCTCACACCGATAGCTTCCAGAGTCCCCAAGGCTCAAGTCTCGGACCTCCAACTGCAGGGAGTTGGCTGTGGCTTTGACCTGGAGGCGGCCACGGAGCGGGAGCAAGGGCCCCAGGCTGGTGGCCAGGAGGTGCTCCCCGTGGAAGAGGGCCAGCTGGGCCACGGGGCGACTGTCCACAGTGCAGACGAACACAGCCACGTGGCCCTGGCCCACGTCCAGGAGTGCTGACAGCTTTGGAGGGTCTGGGGGATCTGCAGACAGGAAGGAGCTCAGGCCACGCCCCGTCCTGCTCACCACGGCGCAGCTGCCACACTCTGTGCCCCTCCCCTCCGCACACGCAGTCCAGGCCTGCCCTTGCTCACGCCCAAGCCGTGCTCTGCCCCTCACGACCATTCCCCCGCACTGCGCACCCCCTCACCCTCCGAGCACCCAACCCTGCCCTTGCCCATCACCCACAGAGCACGCTCAGGAGCACCGGGGCGGAGAGCTGGGCCCCGGCCTCGGTGAGGATGCGGCAGGCATAGAGGCCAGCGTCTGTTCTGGCCACAGGCAGCAACGTCATGGTTTCCAGGGGGCCCTGGGCCCACAGTGCCCCATTCCGGAACCAGGAGAAGTTGGCAGGGCCGCCGGCTTCCCGGCTCACACTGCAGGTCAGGTTGGCTCCGGTGCCCTCCAGCAGCGTGTGGGATGGGGTGATGACCAGGATGGTGGCTGGAGGGCGAGCAGCACAGGCCACCTGAGACAGGCCTCCCCTTGACTGCCTCCCCACTGGGGTGGGGGCCCAGCCTCCCAGCATGGGGAAGGCAGGAAGGAGACCCCTCCCTGGCGTGCCCATGGGGTAGGGGAGAAAAACGAGCTCCCATGGCCAAACAGAGGTGATTTCACCCAATAGACCTGCCCTGGACGACAGAGAGAGTTGGAGCGTCCAATGTACCAGCCCCTGACCCTGAGCCACCCATTCCCTGCATTGACTCACCCTGGGCATCGAAGTTTGTGGAAGCAGAGGCGTTGCCCAGGGTATTGCTGGCCTCACACAGGTACACACCCTCATCCTCCAGCACCGGGTCACCGATCTCCACACGCAGCAGGTTGGGGGCTCTGGTGACCTTTAGGCGCTGGGAACAGCCCCCACAGCCCAATGGCAGGGAAGAGGCCACGACATGGTCCCTGTGGAGCAGCCGCAGCTGGGCTGGGGGGTAGCTGTCCACACGGCACAAGAGGAGCCCTTGACGTCTCACCCCAACCCCCGCAGCATCGGGGTCCAGCTGGGCAGTGAACGTGGGCTGGCGTGGAGCATCTGTAGGGAGGAAGAGCATAGGCATTCATCTCATGGCCTCCACAGGGTTCTCCACGTCCACTCAAAGCTGGCTAGGTTCCCACAACACAGCAAACAAAGGCATGTGCTCAGAATTGCCATGAACAGCTGTGTAGGTTGTTCACTGCACAAGGACAACCAAACCAAAGTAGGAGGAATTCGGCCCATGGCCCTCATGCTCAGCTGTGCTCTAGTGCTGTACTGAGTCTTCCCAGAGGAAGGAATATCATTTTCTAGCTTGGACAAGGGTGTCGTATGGGCTAGCATAACATTGTGTGCTTCTGATTGGCCCCTCAGGTTAATATGAAGCATCCACCCTTGATAGGCCACAGTCCCTGTGCTTAGAGGTTCTGCTGTCAAGGCTGTGGGAGCTTGTGAGAGCGCAGCCAAAGGGTGTGTGCACATATATGGAATTATGGTGTCCTAGGGGCCAGCTGAGGACAAAACTTGGATAGGGTATCCATGGTGCCTTTGAGGCTAAAAGTAGAGGGCCTTAAAGAGGCTGGGGTTGAGGGACAGGATATGGGGAGACAGCAAGCCCCAGGCTTGTTCCCCACATTTCAGCCTTGGGCAGGCAGCTCTGTGGTGCCCAGGCCCGTGGCTGCCTTCCTGATCTAGACCCAGGGGCTGGAGGGCCTGAAGGAGTTGGAGGTGGCTGGTGGGCTCCTGTAGGCTGACCCTCCCCAGGTAGGCAGGGGCTGGTGGGAAGACTACTTACAGAGCACAGTGAGGATGGCAGGTGAGGAGGGTCCGCTGTCCCTGTGGCCATCGTTGGCCTGACAGTAGTAAGAGCCGGCATCGGTGCTGGAGGCCGCAGAGAGGTGAAGGCTGCTGCTGGAACCTTCGAGAAGCAGGGCTCCATTCCGGTACCAGGAGAAGCGGATGTCAGGCGATGGGCTCAGACCGCTCCTGCAGCTCAGGGTCACTCCTTGGCCTTCTACCACCTCTGCTGTGGGGCTGATGAGGAGGTGGGCCACTGGCAGAGGAGGGAGTAAGGAAGGCTCAGGTCCCCTGCATCCGGCTGCACCCATGCCACCAGCTGCAGGAAGACCTCCAGGGTTCTCCTCTCCCCACATGACTGTAGGTAGGTCTGGACTCTGTGGCATCAGCTCCATGAACGTCTTGATATCAGGAGAGTTTGTCCTTCACTGCCAATTCTAATCTATTGGCTGCAGCTTGATCGAGAAGGATTATGAGCCAGAGCCTGGGCTTCCATCAAAAACCTGGCACAATTGATTAGCTCTGTCCTCCACAGCCTCAGAAGGAGGGAATGGCAATGCATGCATGAAGGTATGGATGACCGCGCTTTTCTATTTTTCCTCCTGCCTCGGACTCCTAGCAGAGCCTGCCCCAGGCGTTTGATAAATAAAAAAACCAATGGATATGAAGGGCTCTTCAAGTTCAGAGTCAAAATGTGTACAAAAGGAATAATGCAACCTGCCACGTTTCCCCTTTGCCTTGACTTCAGGGACCTCCCAGGTGGTTATAGCCCAGATCTTTGATGTGTTTTTTTTTTTTTTTTCAAACCAACCAGCTTGTTCGTCCCCTCAGCTAAGTCCCCTGGACTCCTGGGACGAAGACCAGAGCAGGCCTCCTCCTCGGTGTCCCTTCACCAGCCCCCCTCCCCGTGCCTGTCTTACCTTTGGCCTGGAAGTTCAAGGTGGACGATGACTTCCCCAGGGAGTTGGTAGCTGAGCACGTGTACTCCCCAGTGTCATCCAGCCCCAGGTCTCGGATCTCCAGGTTCAGGGAGTTGGGGGTGGAGAAGACACTGAAGCGTGAGCTGTGGTTTCCCTCCCCTGGCGTGGAGGCCAGGATGAGGCCATTGTGCGACACCGTCAGGGTGGCCAGAGGCTCGCTGATCACGGAGCAGTGGAGGATACCCACCAGCCCCTCCCGTGTCTCCAGGAAGGCAGTTAGGTCCGGGGCAAGGGGCGGGTCTGCGTGGAGATGAGGGGTGCTGGTCACCCTCAGATGGGGGCAATCCCGGATCCCCCTTTATAGGCTATGACCGTGCAATACCCCATGAAGGGAGCAACCCCAGAGCTCCTGAGGGCCGGTCGAATACACTTGTGCCTGAGTGGAGCCAGTCACTTTGTCTTCTCAGTCAACAGCTGTGGCAACTCTGTGAGTGGGGGCTCAGGGGCCCACTATGAGGATGGGAAAACTGCCAGGCAGCAGCGGGTAGCACCTCATCCAAGGGGCCAAGGTGAGGAACTACCAGCAATGGGACAGACTGTCATCACATGCCCCCTGACGTGACACAGCAGGATGGACCCAGCGTCATACCCACGCTGTTGCTGCCCGGCTGTGCAGTCTCAGTCTACACAAACCACACAAACACAAACAGGGACACCCACACAACTGGCCTGTACTCTTCAAGTCTCAATGTCAAGAAAGGCAAGAAAAGGGGCACCTGCGTGGTTCCATCCGTTAATCGTCTGCCTTCACTCAGGTCATGATCCCAGGGTCCTGGGATCAAGTCCCACATCGGGCTCCCCGCTCAGTGGGGAGTTTGCTTCTCCCTCTCCCTCTGCCCTTCCCCCTGCTTATGTATGCGCACACTCTCTCTCTCTGTGTGTCTGTCTCAAATGAATAAATAAAATCTTTAAAAAAGAGAGGAAGAGAGAGGGACTACTTTCTGTATGATTCCAACTATTTGACATTCTGGAAAAGGCAAAAAAATTTTTTTTCTGTGGTTGTCAGGCATTCAACAGATAAATAAATGGAGAACGGGGGATGTTTATGGCAGTGAAGCTCTTCTGTATGATACTGTAAGATGAGTACATGATATTATACAAAGAGTACAACACAAAGAGTGAACCTTACTGTAAACTACAGACTTTAGTTAATAATGTATCAGTGTTGGTTCAGTAATTATAACAAATACACAACACTAATCCAGGATGTGATAGGGGAAACTGTGCCAGGAAAGATACATGGGACCTCTGTACTATCTGCTCAATATTTTTGTAAATATAAAACTATTGTTAAAAAATAAAATCTATTAGGTAGCTTGGTCAGTTAAGCATCCAACTCTTGATTTCAGCTCAAGTCATGATCTCAGGGTGGTGAGGCCAAGCCCAAGAAGGCTCACACACTAGGCGTGGAGCCTGCTTAAGATCCTCTCTCCCCATCTCCCTCCGCCCCTCCCTGCACCATGAACCCGTGCTCTCTCTTTCCCACTCTTTATTTTATTTATTTATTTATTTGACAGAGAGGAAGATCCCAAGCAGGCAGAGAGGCAGGTGGGAGGGTGGGGGGGGTGCGGAGCAAGCTCCCTGCTGAGCAGAGAGCCCCATGAGGGGCTCCATCCCAGGACCCTGAGATCATGACCTGAGCTGAAGGCAGAGGCTTAACCCACTGAGCCACCCAGGCACCGTCCCCTTCCCACTCTTAAGAAAAAAAAATTAATAAATAAAGACAGAGAACAAATGTACCACACTGTTAATAAATGGATAATCTAAGTTAAAGGCGTATGGTAATTCTTTGTATTCTTCTTGCAACTTTCTGTAAGCTTAACTCATTCTAAATGAAAAGTGGTCTAAAACAGGAGGACACCCAGGCCCAGGGAGGTGAAAGCTTGCCCAGAGTTGCAGAGCTGGGGTGTGAGCGCAGAGCCGACCAGGCCCAGGCTCTTCACCCTCCTGTGGGGCCCCTGTCCCCAGCTCCACCCTGGCCACTTACGGCTGACCACCACGCTGACGGGGCCGGAGCGCTCTCTGCCATAGGCATTCTGCACCTCGCAGACGTAGAAGCCGGTGTCGGCCCTTGAGGCCGAGGGAAGCCGCAGCGTGTGGCTGTGGGCATCCTCCAGCAGGACGTGGTTCTTATACCAGCTGTAACGCAGCTCGCTGGGGGCTGCTTGGGGCGTGTTGCAGGTCAGTGTCACCATCTGGTTCTCTAGGATGCGGCCTGCCGGGCTCACCTGGACCTCAGCCACTGTAGGGGCAGCAGTGGGCATGCTGGGGGACACCCAGACATCTTCCAGCATCCTGGGGTTGTAGCCAATCAGCCTGAATCCCTGCACACTCAGTACCAGACCCCTTCTGGGTGGGCACCGCATCTCTTTGTCCTGTTTACTAGGATTCTTGCAACCGCCCACCCTGCTGGGGAGGTTTGTCATCTATCTGGGGCAGGTCTAGGACTCCACACCCGTGTCCCAGAAGGCGCCTTGGCCTAGCTCCCTTGAGCAACAGGGGCCTGTTGGGGACCCCGCCCCACCCTCCAGTCAAGACCCAGGCTCCCCCAGGACTCACTAAAGATGTGGACCTTGATGGGGGGCGAGACCGAAGAGCCCACGCCGTTCCCAGCTTGGCAAATGTAGACACCAGCATCGTCCCAGGTTGCCTGGGACAACCTCAGCATACGACCCTCGACCTGGAGTGGTGTCCCGTCCTTGATCCAGCGCATAGAACTAACTTTGGGGTAGCTGCTGTTCACCCGGCAGGTGAGTATGACCACATCACCTGGAAGGATGTTCCGCCCTGAGGGGCTGAGAAGGATCTCCACACCCCTGGGGGCATCTGCAAGGCACAAGGTGGGTGGGGGGGGGGCGTCAGAGGAAGGGCCCAGGGAAGACAGTGGTGCCACTTCTCTCTTCTTTCAAGAAGCCCCGCCAGGCACTGCCCCCCACCTCGTGAGGAGATTCTGATTCCTTCCTTCTCCACCGAGGGCCTAATAATGCAGGCCTAGCGTCCAGCCTGCACTGCCTTCTAAGGCTTTCTGCCGCGTGACACTAGCCATCACCCTCTCTTCTATCTAGGGATCATAAGCACCATCGTTCCTGCTTAGGTGGCTTTTGGTAGCTGTTGGCAAGGAATCAAACACTTCATGAAGGGGGCCAAAGGCAGAAGATGGTTAACCCGTTTGGAAGGAAGGAGCCAACCATACAGCACATCTGCATTTCTAGAAATCTTGTTCCAAAGCCTCTGGCTATGTAAATAGGCTTATAAAAGCTATTATTTTCAAATGCTTTATCTAGGGAAATATGAAAATAGCAGAAGCTAATATCTTAGAGTGCTCAGTATGTGCTAAGCACTCCTTCAAGTTCCATAACAGTTCCTTGAGAACAACTCCTCTCCTTCACAGAGGTAGACATGGAGGCCCCAAGGGTCAAGTAACTTGCCCAGTTTGCTCAGCTAGTGGTGGACCCAGCCAGCCTGATGATGCTTGTGAACAGCACTTGTTCTAGAATAGGCTGCCATGTTTTACCGTGATGGGAAGTTCCATAATCAAGTAGAAACTCAGGCTTCCTCCCACCTCATCTTTGTTGAGTAGCCTTAGGCAAGAAAAGGGTGAACCCTCCTCCCCCGACACGCAGCAGCCTCCAGAGCTGGGTTAAATCCCCAAGGCCTCCCTCCCCGGCCCCCAGTTCTCTGGCTCTTCGTGTCTCCCCTTCTCTGCCCAACCTGGCCTCAGGGACGCGAGGTACAAGGGAGCCATTCAATGTGGCTCTCAAGGTTTTGCAGCGTCTCTCCCCCTGGCTGAGCCTGAAGGTCCAAGTGCACCTGGCTCTGCCTCAGGGGCGAGGGCTCTCTTTCTACAGGCCACGGAGGAGACTGGTTTCCTCTGGGGAGCCATAGATGTGCGTTCAGTCCCAAGGGTGGGGCCCCCAGCACACTCACATTGCACTTGGAGGTGAATCTCGCTCCGAGCCTTTTGCTTGGCCACTGAGACTTCGCAGTGCAGGGTCCGGCCGTGGTCCTGCCACGACAGGGCCATGTGGAGGGTCTCCAGGTGGCTGATGCCTGTGGGCCTGAGATCCTGGAGGTTGGAGGTGACCGAGCGCTCGGGGTCCTGGCCTTCCCACTGCAGGCTGATGTGTTCCTCTGGGCACGCATAGGGAGTAGAGCAGTTGAAGTACGCCTCCATGCCCTCATGGAGCTCCGCCAGGGAGGATATGGAGGGCTTCTCAGGTGTCTCTGAAGACAAAGACCAGAGGCTCAGGACTCCCCTTCACCACACAGGAGGCCTCCTGCCCTAGAAAGCCCTGCTGAGGGGCGAGACCTGGGCAGGGTCCTTCAAGAGGAAGGAGAGACTACTTTCGACCCCCGGCCCCACTTAGGGTGAATGCAAAGGAGATGCAGGGCTGGGAGAGGCCGGAGATGGGCTTAGACTTCAATGGGGCCAGTAGCAGCTTGGGACACACTTCCAGGCCATAGCCAGCTCACCCTGCCCCTCACCTGTCACAGTGACCACAGTGCCTTTGACATCTGACCAGCGGTTGCCTTCACTGATCTCAAAACGGAAGTTGTAGGAGCCTGAATCTTCAGGTCGCAGGTCCTTCAACAGCAGGCTGCACATCTTGTGCTCTGTGCGCCCCAAGAACTGGGCACGGTTTTGAAAGCGTGCCTCCACCAGCTCGGGGTTCTCCGAGTGGCTTACCACCTGCCGCTGGCCCGCATAGTCGTAGTACCAGATGGTCGTGATGCTGCGGGTCACTTCCACATCAGCTGGGAAGCTGAAGACGCAGGGGATGATGAGGCAGGACCCCCTCACGCCCTTCACATTCTGGGGACTGGAGACACCCCAGGAGGACAGGCCTGAGGGTGGGGCGAGACGGAGAGGAGAGTGATGAAGACCTGGTATCATGCAGAGCCCTCAGACCTGTCCCCATATGAGCCCCCAGCCGGGCACCCCTGGAGCAGCCCCCTAGCAGGGGGGCCCTCCCAGCCACTGCCTCCCTGAGCCCTCCTTCGACCTCAGCAGACAAACCTGTGACCAGGCCCAGTGCGGTCTGCCCAGGGCCAGGCCCTGGGAGCCGGGCGAGACCAGCACAGCTTACCTGTTGAAATCGATGAGAACAGCTGGAGAAGCCGGAACAGGGAGTCCATAGCAGGCTTCACACTGGTTCTGGTGCCTAAGAGGCGATACATACCTTGTGTACTGGTTGGGTACACAAGGGCCTCCTAGGGCACCTCAGGGCACCTCAGCCTCAGAGTCTGCAGAGAGTCCAGCCCTGCTCTGCTGCCTCCCCACCAAACCCCCAGTGAGAGGGCCAGGCAGCCAAGGACTCCTAGCACAGCCAGCAGCAGGGAGCCAGGATCCCACGTTCCCGGCGCCGACCACACCCAGGAATACCTTCACTTGGTGTCGTGCCCCAGAAAGCCCTCTGTGTGTCCCTCAGCCCCACCCCAAGTTCTGCTTTCCCAACCCCTCAAGGACACTCCTCCAGAGCAGATGAACATCTGTTTCTCTTTCCTCCCACTTCCCCACCTCTTCCCCACCACCAAGCCCAACAGGAACTGGAGCCCAGAGAGGCCCAGGGACTCACTCCAAAACACCCAGCAAGAATGATAGCTTGAAACTTGTCTCCTTACCACCAGCCTTACCAGCTGTAAGCCCTAATGGGGCTTGACTGAGCACTGACCAAAGTGCTTCTTTGAGAGCTACTTACATCCCTGAAAGGTCCTCAGGGTTCCTACTCCCAGTTCTGCCCCCATTCCCTGCTGGCCACACACGCGGTCTGTGGCCAAGTCCCATCTACACGTGGGCTCTCCAGCTGACCAGCTCTGCCTCCACCACAAATGATCTTTGCCTGCTGAAACCTTATTCAGTCTTCGAGGTGCAGCTTGAAGGTGGCTTCTAGCCGGAACTTCCTCCGTGGGGTTCCTGGAGCCACCCCACAGCCATCTCTGTGCTCGCCTTGTTTTTGGCAGCTTGTGACCCCCATTTCTCAGGAGCTGGGACTGAGGACATGCACCCTGAAGCAGAGCAGAGCCCCAGGCCTTGCAGTAGTGAGCAAGAGAGGGGCGTGGTCCTTGGGTGTCTGGAGTTGGTGGCAGGGCAAGTCTGGGCAGGGGACACAAGCCCCGCACAACACATATCCCAGAGTTAAATGCCTACTGTTTACCATGTACAAGAAGGTGGGCTTTCTGACATTGGGGGGCCCTGCTGGAGATGAGGCTCTAAGGGGGTGGCACAGATAAGAATCTGAGGGCAAGAGATCCCAGAAACACATATAACCAAAACTATAAAGCTGTGAGAAGAAAACATGGGTGAAAATCTCCACGACCTGGGATCAGGCAATGACTTCTCAAGTATGACACCAGAAGCACAAACAACAAAAGAAAAAATAGATAAATTGGACTTGATCAAAACGTATAACTTTTGTACACATCGAAGGACACTATCAAGAGAGTGAAAAGACAACCCAGAGAATGGGAGAAAATACCTGCAAATCATCTATCTGATAAGGGGTTGATATCTAGAATATGTAAGGAACTCCTACAACCCAACAAGAACAGTAACAAGCAAACAAAAAACCCCAAACCACCCAAAATCAAAAAATGGGGTAAGAACTTCAATACACGCTTCTCTGAAGATGATATATGTGGCCAAAAAGCTCATAAAAAGATGTTCAACATCATGAATCATTTGGGAAATGCAAACTAAACCCACAACCAGCTACCACTTCATACTCATCAAAATGGCTATTAACAAACAAAACCAGGAAATAATAAATGTTGATGAGGACGTGGGGAAATGAGAAGCCCCATGCACTGTTTCCCCACTTTACATTCTGGTGGGAGTGTAAAATGGCACAGTCCCCGTGGAAAATAGTTTGAGAGTTCCTCAAAAGTCAGACATAGGGGTGCATAGGTGGCTCAGTCGGTTAAGCATTTGCCTTTAGCTCAGCTCATGGTTCTGGGATGGAGCCCCACATCAGGCTCCTTGCTTAGGGGGGAGCCTGCTTCTCTCTCTGCCTGCTGCTCCCCTTGCTTGTGCTCTTTCTCTCTCTGATAAATAAATAAATAAATAAATATCTTAAAAAAAAAAAAAGTCAGACATGGATTACTGTAGCATCCAGCAATTCCACTTCCAGATACCAACCAAAATATTTTTTTTAAAGATTTTAATTTATTTATTTATTTGACAGACAGATCACAAGTAGGCAGAGAGGCAGGCAGAAAGAGAGAAGAGGAAGCAGGCTCCCTGCTGAGCAGAGATCCCGATGCAGGGCTCAATCCCAGGACCTGGGATCATGACCTGAGCCAAAGGCAGAGGCTTTAACCCACTGAGCCACCCAGGTGCCCCTCAACCAAAAGATTTTAAAACAGGGACTCAAACAGATACTCGAACACTTGTGTTCATAGCAGCGTTAATCACAATAGCCAAAACGTGGAAACAACCCAAGCGCCCATCACAGATGAATGGATGAAAGAGAGGTGGTCCATCCATACAAAGAATATTATTCAGCCGTAAGAAGGATCAAAATTCTGACCTGTGTGACAAGGGCACAGGAACCTGAAACCTGAACCCTGAAACCATTTTTCTAAGTCAAACCAGCCATATACATAAGGGCAAATATTGCATGATTCTACCTATATGAGGTACCTAGAGTATGCAAGTTCAAAGACACAGAAAGCAGACTAGAGGTTACAGGGACAAGGAATGGGGCATGGAGGAGTGAGTGGAGAGTTCATGTTTAATGAGAGCAGAGTCCCTCTTTTGGATCATGAGAAATTCCTGGAAATTGACAGTGGTGATGGTTACACAATATCATGAATGTATTTAATGCTGCTAAACTGAACACTTGAAAAATGGTTAAAACAGTAAGTTTTATGTTAAGTATATTTTACAACGTGCATACAAAAACCCATGTTGCTAGGGCGCCTGGGTGGCTCAGTCGGTGAAGCATCTGCCTTTGGCTCAGGTCATGTTATCAGGGTCCTGGGATCGAGCCCCACCTTAGACTCCCTACTCAGCAGGAAGCCCGCTTCTCCCTCTCCCTCTGCCCCCCCCCCACTCATGCTCTCTCTCTCTCTCAAATTAAAAAAAAAAAAATCTTTAAAACAACAACAAACAAACAAAAACCCATGTTGCCAACTTCGCAATCCTCCCTGGTCCTAAACGCTGACTTGGCAGAGTGAGGGGGTGAGCCTGAGGAGGCTGGGAGCAGAGACAGGAAACTCATAACATCTCCCAGCCCCCAGCCCATCAGCCGCAGGATGGGGCCCAGCTGATTCTGGCGGCTACCAGGGTGCACTCCTGGGGAGGGGCTGAGCAGACACCCAGGGCCTGAATGGGATCTGAATTGTCCATCAGGATGACAGTACTTGGCCAAGTGTGAAGAGGGCAGGGCTGTCTTTGCAGGGAGTGGGGCAAAGGCGAAGGCATGGGAAGGCCAGGAAGAGCACTGTTCCTCAGGGAACCCAGCCGACAGCGCTGGTCATTTGCTGAGGCCCAGCGGCTCGTCCCCAGTTCTTTAGGCGGCTCTAGGCCTGCCCCTATCCCAGGAGGATGGAGGAGCCACAGGAGAGGCTCATGCTGGCCCAGGCTGGAACTAGGGCCCAGATGCTGGGCTGAAAGGCAGCTCAAGGCATGTTTGGGGTGGGTGGGTAACAAGGTCAGCTCTGCTACAGAAGGGACACGAGGGAGAGGGTGGCATGTCGGCCCCAGGGCCCCTGCTCTTCCCATTTGGGGCCATGGAAGGGACAACGCTGAAACTACAGGAGAAATGGTGGGATTTTAGACCTACTGACCCCAGAACAGAGCAGAGATTATCAAACATGCAAGAGGACCCCTTCTAGAACCACCCCAAATCACATCATGTAGGTGTCACCTACACTTAGCCCAGCCCCAACACCCAAGAGTAAGTCCCACCGAAGTCCAATTCACTGACTTAACCTATTTCACCCCAAACACCATCCTCGTCCTAGAGAACCTTCCTGGGAAAAGAAGGAGCAAGACAGACCCCAGAAAGGAAGACCCTTGTCCCTATTTGGAAACCTCAGGGCTAGGGGGTAGGTGCTCCTAGGGCTTGCATTGAGCTGGGTGTACTGGTGGGCGCCCTGCGCCCCCTGGTGGTAAAGGGGTGATTGCCAGTCCTGGGAAAGGGCGTGGGTGTCCTGGGGGACCAGAGCCCCGCAAGCCTGAAACAACCTCTTCCTTAGGCAATGACCGTCTGGGAGAGGATTGTTCCCCAGACCTCAGAAAGCTCAGGGCTCTGAGATTCATCTTTGTAGCTTCAAGTCTTGGGTGTTCTGAACATGGGCTTTAATCCCCACTCTCAAAATTGGTGTATGTTGCATCAGGGTGGGACTGGGATGGCCTGGAAGGTGGGTGCCCGAGTCTGCTGCTGCCTGTGCAAGAGCAAGTGGGCAGGCGGGTAGAGTCTATGTGAGACCAAGTGTCCCATGATAAGTGGGGAGGGCTGGCTGAACCCTGACCTCTGAGTCCAGAGCCCAGTCTGGCCTGGGGAAGGAAGGGCAGATGCAGTTTCACTACAGACAGCTATGTAGGGTTCAGTTTCTGTTTCCTAGTACCAGGGCTCCCCCCTCAACTTCCCTATCAGGCTGCAGAAGGAGAGAAATGAGGGGATACAGCCATCTGGAGTGCCCTTCCCCACAGATAAGAAATCAGGGTACAGGAGGGCGACTCCAGAGTATATGATCTTCCTAAGAGTGGAAAGCCCCAAACATAAGCCAAACGTTTTGCTTGAAAAGCCCTATGGCCCATAAATGAAGTCGCCTGGCTTTGAAATGGGCAGTAGAGATTTCACATCTCGTTTTTCGTTCCGGCCCAAGCTCCTGCTCCCCAGGCTGTGCTAGGCAGTGCTGGGGGTCCTGCTGAGAGGAAGAAGTGGTGATGAGGGCAGTGAGTGGGACTGGGCTCCTGTGAGGCCAAGATGAATGGTGGGTGGCCCCAGGGCGGGCGTGAAGATGAATTTCGGCTGCAGTGTGGGATGGAATTGGGTGGACGTGGAGGGGAGAGTGATGGGTCGGGAGAGGATGAAGGTCAGGGTTGAGGCTGCATGGAAATGATGGAAATGTTGGGGGTGTCGCTGAGGGTGAGGGAGGGCTGGCAGGTGTGAGGACTGGGACCGGGATATGGGTTGGGGAAGATTTGGGGGTTCTGGTAATGACTGCAGCCTTGATTAGTATCTCGGGCTTGAGTTGGTCTGGGGCCCAGCACCCACTCCCAATGCCCCCCAGCAAATCTCAGCCCAACCCCTCTCCCAGCCCTCCTCTCACACTCCGGAGATGGGGGTACCTGCTCCGCAGGGGGAAGGGCTGCAAGGCTGGTGAACCACAGGAAGAAGAACAGGACCGAGGGCCAGATGCTTGTGGTGCTGGTGGCTTCCCAGGGCTCTGCCACCCCAAGAGAGGAGATCCAGGCTCAGAGGCTGCTTCCTCTTTTCCCAAAGCCTCAGCCTGGAGGCTGGTCAGGGAGGCAGCTGGAGGCCTTGCGTAATACCAAGACAGGAAAGTCCTCCTGGGCAGGGGAAGGGCCCCGGGAAAGCCCTTAAGGACTTGAGCAAGCAGAAGTGGGATCTGGGGCCACAGTACTCTCAGACAAAATGAAATGGGGAGGGGGTGTCCTGTTTACTGGCCATGTTCATTCTCCTCTTCTTTGTGGCCACTGGCCTTTTTAGGGAGTCCAAGAGAAGAGGAAGGGAGCTTTCTACCCATGGTCCTCCTGACAACTGAGAAGGAGTCAAGCCCAGCCTGGGGTGAAGGAGCATTACAGAGCACCCCGATGCAAGTATTGCTTCTCCAAGCCCTTTGGGAACCTCTCAGTATCCCAATGCTACCAGGACTCTCCTAGAACCCCCCCACCCCCACCCCGCCAAGAAGCAGGCCCCAGTCATGGGAGACACAGGGCCCTCAACCTCCAGGATACTCCTTAGGCTGGAAGGGTGTCTCTGGTTCCCCCTCCCTTCCCCATTGTCTCTCCTACACCCCCACTACACCCACATGTGATTTCAGCATCTCCCAACCCCTACTGAGGCAGAAAAAGAAACCCTCCACCATGGCTAGTAACGACTTTTTTTTTTTTAATTGGAGCCCATTTCATTGATGGCCTACTATTTGCCAGAAACATAGCACATGGAGAAGGGTGTTCATTGCTCCAAGCAATGGCGGCCACAAGTGACAACACAGTTCTCATTTCACAGCCTAAATTTAATTTAACTCAGCCCCTACATATTTATGGTGGTGGAGAGCCCAACCATGGCAGATCAGACCCCCTGGACCCTGGGGGCAAACCCACAGGTACAGATCAAATAGGACATGAAACCCTGGATCAGGATGAAGCCAGGATCCCAGGTCACAGTGGCCCAAAGCAACTGTCTCGTGACATTCTGCCCTGAAATCCTCAAGTCCCGCAAAAATGAGCGCTCTGTCACTTACTCTGGCCTCTTTGCAGCCCCCCGTATCTCTCCTAGCTTTGAGTCATTTCCTCTTTTGACCAAAACACAATGTGTTCTTCCATTGTTTCCCCCTCCAACCCCAAAATGAGACTTGCTGGTTGAGCTTGAGGTCTGTGCAGCTGATTCCAACTATATGACGTTCTGGATAAGGCCAAACTAGGAAGACAGCAAAATGGTCGTTGTTACCAGAGGTTAGTGGGGAGGGAAGTATGACTAGGTGGAACATAGGGGATTTTTTAGGGCAGTGAAACTGTTCTGTATAGTACCATGACGTACGCATGTCCTTAAACACCTGCCCAAATCCACAGACTGTACAGAACTGAGTGAACCCGAATGTGAACTGTGGACTTCAGGTGATTAGGATGTCAATGCAGGTTCATCAGTGACAACAAATTGGCAGGGGATGTTGATAATGGGGGGACGTTATGCATGTGGTGGGGGTAAGAGGCGTATGGGAAATTTGTGTGTCTTCTTCTCGTTTTGATGCGACCCTAAAACAGTTCAAAAGAATGGAAGGAAGGAAGGAAGGAAGGAAGGAAGGAAGGAAAAAGGAAAGGGAAAGAAAAAAGAAAAAGGAAAAGGAAAAGAAAATAATAGAAAGGACAAAGCTCATTCCATTCACTCCAGCCACTGGAGTGAGAGCTCAGAAATTCTCTCACGGGGCGCCTGGGTGGCTCAGTCGTTAAGTGTCTGCCTTCGGCTCAGGTCATGATCTCAGGGTCCTGGGAACAAGCCCCACATCGGGCTCTCTGCTTGGTGGGGAGCCTGCTTCCCCCCTCCCTCTGCCGCTCCCCCAATTGTGTTCCCTCTCTCTTTGTCAAATAAATAAATATCTTTAAAAAAAAAAAGTGTGTTCCTTAAAAAAAAAAAGAAAGAAAGAAAGAAAGAAAAGAAAAGAAAAGAAAAGAAAAGAAAGAAATTCTCTCAAGACTTTGGCTGTAACTCGTAGGCCCACAACTTTGGCATCCCCCTTTCATCCCCTGAAGCCAATGCCAGCTCAGGCCCTTGACTTGGGAAGCTGATGTTTCAGCCTTAGGCAGGTGGCTGACGGTGGCATGCAAAGCCACTTTCATATCCCTATTATTTGGAGATTGTAAAATAGAAGGAGTAAAGGTCGGTGAAAAGAAACTCTCTTAACAATTCTCAGGCTTTTGTATCCTGAAATTCCATCTCTTTGCAATTAAAACTATCAGGTCAAAATCTGTCCTAAGAATAACGGATCTTAAAATAATAGAACCTTGCAGGATTAGGAAAGAGCATGAGCAGAGATGCCACATACTATGTTTTTAGTGACAATGCGTGACATGGGAAATCTTGAATATGAAATTAAATCTTGCTAATAAATGAATTTATTTCATGGTTTCATGGTGCTACTCTTAGTAAAATGTGGATAATGTGTTTTACTTTTGTTCTGGAATAAATAAGCATAATTTTTAAAAGGATTTATTTATTTATTTATTTAGATCTTTATTTATTTATTTATTTATCAGAGAGAGAGAGAACACTCAAGCACAGGCAGGGGGAGGTAGAAGGAGAGGCAGAGGGAGAAGCAGGCTTCCTGCCAAGCAGGGAGCCCAATGTGGGACTCGATCCCAGAACCCTGAGGATCCTGGCTGAGCCATCCAGGCGCCCCAAGCATATATATATCTTTTTAATGGAGAAAAATTTTGGCTAAAATACAGAAAATTAGAATTAATAGGGATTTAAATAAAATAATAAGTGTTGGCATCAAGGCTGATGTGGCAACTGCCCAACCGTCACGAAGCTAGAACCCTTTTAATTTTTGTGTTCTGCCATCTTCAATGAGCCACTTCCACTCATGGTCTAAGATGGCTACTGGAAAACCAGCCATTATATCTGCGTTCCAGAAAGCAAGATAGAGGAAGGAACAAAGCAGGCCATGCCCCCGTCTTTTAAGGATAATTCCTTAAATTGCATATTTCATTTCTGCTTACATCACACTAGCCAGAAGTTAGTCACATGGCCTTATGTCTTTATTCCAATAGATGATGTGCCCAGATAAATACTAGAGATTCATTATTAAGAAGTGGGCGGTGGAGGGATGAAGCCCTGCCTTTTTATGGAGCAACCAGGGTTCTAATTAAATCTCTCATTCCTTGGAACTGTTGGGATCTCAGCCGCAGGCCCCTGCTCAACTATGACGGCATCTCTGTAGAGCCTCCTATCTCCCATAGAGGGCGCCAGAGCCCTCTGCTTCCTCACCTTTGTCCTTTCGGATCCAACAGCAATATCCGAGGCATATGACCAGCTCAGCCCACAGTGGCTCAAAGAAGATCCTCAGGGCCTGTTGTGGTCAGCTTGGGGACAGATGTGAGTTACATAGCTCAGTGGTTAGGAGCCTGGGCCTTCCACAGAGCTGAGTTCAAATTCAGACATATCATTCACCAGCTGTGTGACCGGGGGAAGTCACTCAACCACTCTGAACATGGAGACTTCGGGACAGCTTGTGCGAGTGTGAAGAGCCTGCCACAAAGCCTGGAATGTCAGAATAGCTCTGTGGGTGCCGTGAGAGTAGCCGAAGACTGCTCCCACTTCCCCACGAAGGTGACCGCTCCCATAAGCACATCCTGGCTTTCCCTTAGTCACCTGAGAGCCTGTGGTCTGTCCCTCTGGCTCTCCTCCCCTGCTCATGCACTCATTTCTGCTCCCTGACAGTGTGAAGGCATATGGACTTCTCCATCTGCCCCTGCTAACGCTCCAGGGCAGAGAAAATCCCTTCCATCCATACCAATACCAGCCAGCCCTGCCCTCCCTTCCTAAAGACGAACTGGCCACGAGGTATTACCGGCCAGTTGAGAAAACCCAACAAAAGCAAGATTCAGAAAAGCAGAACAAACCACAACTGAGTGCAACAACAGTGCGCCTGGCCGTGGTCTAAGCCTCGACATTCAGTAACCATGTAACGATGCCCTGAGCTAGATGCTCTTGTGACCTCCACTTTGCAGGAAACTGAGTCACAGAACAGTACGTTAGCTTGGTCAAGATTGAAACAGCTCGTGAGGGGCAGAGACACGGAATCTGAACCCAGGCAGCCTGTTTGCTGCACTGCACCCTGAACTACTCAACTCTACTGCTTCTTTCTTATTATTATTAATCTTTTTATTTTAATTCCAATCCAGTGGACATACAGTTAAATTAGTTTCAGATGTACAATATAGTGATTCAACAATTCTATACATTCTTCAGTGCTCATCATGATAAGTGTCAATCCCCTTCACCTGTTTGCCCCATGTCCTCCTCCCAGTTTCCCATCAGTTTGCTCTCTAGAGTTAGGAGTCTGATTCTTGGTTTCTCTCTCTCTCTCTCTCTCTCTGCTTGTTTGTTTTGTTTCTCCAATTCCACATATGAGTGAAATCACATGAATTTTCTTTGGCTAACTCATTTCACTTAGCCCTCTGGCTCCATCCAAGCTGCTGCAAATAGCAAGATTTCGTTCTTTTTTTATGACTGAATAATATTCCATCGTGTACATATACTACATTTTCTTTATCCATTCATTTTTTTATGACACTTGGGCTGCTTCCAATGATACTCCCTCTTTAATAAACCAAAAAAAAGTGACTTACTGATCCCAGAGGAAACAGATAATTCAAACAGAAGAAAACTTAATAAGAGTCTAATTCTATTATATTCGTAAAACGAATAGAGAGAGCTATGAAAAAAAGCAAGAAATAATTCTTAGAAATTTAAAATAGAATCACTAAGAAAAACCAAACTCAATAGAAAGGAGTGTGAGCATCTGTGGTTTGGGTGTCCAAAATTTTTCTTTTGATAGAAAAAAATAATAATAACAAAATTTTAAAACACTCTCATTTCCCTCTGATTTCTGAAGCCTGTGGATTGGGTGGAATTGACCACCCCTCCCCCATTTTATGCACAAGAGAAACATGTTGCTGCTGACAGTCCACTCTGAGGAGCCAGGGATGGAGACAACACTGAGGGCTGAGGAAAGATGTATAGAGACTCTGGGTCC